GGGGATGATGGAAGAGCCACAGCAGATGCCTGTGAACCAGCTGATCCACCAGAGTGGGCCAGCGGTGCTCTGTTTGCTGGGACTGGGGAAGAGATGGGTGGAATCTGCACCGGCAGGTCTCTGACAGTGGCCAGAAGAGCGAGGTGGGGTTGGAGAGGTGCAGACTGTCCCCACCTCACCACAGCATCTGCTCCTTGCAGAGGAGGCCTGTGTGTGGACCCCTTCGGAAGCAGCAGTCCCTTCCCCTTCGGCCCATCATTCCACTCATCGCCCAAATCTCTGACCAGAGCGCTTCGGGTGCTGCCCCCGTGACACTGAGGGAGAAAACCCACCCGGAGAAGTTTTGGCAGCTCCCTTCCAGCCACAGCATGGACCTGGATGAGTGTGGTAAAATGGGGGTGCCTGCAGGTGGGAAGGGGAAAGCAGAGGGGGCCTGCTGCCTGCTTCAGGTCGCAGTCAGGTCTGCTCTGGCATGGATGAAAGGACTACCTGCAGCTGCTCCAAGTGGGATGGTTGCACGAATTGCTCTGTTGGCAGGTGGTTATGTCCTCCACCAGCTGCCTGTCCATTTCCAGTCTTTCTCTATCTCACAAATTATGATTGTGATCACTGGGGACTGTTGGGCTCTGCATGAGAACTGAGGCTCTGGAGGATTGGAGCCCCTGTAGCCACCAGTCCTGTGCCCAGACTGAGCTGAAAATGTCTCTCCTCCCCTTGCTGCAGACACACATCCCCCATCATTGCTAATGTGGAGCCTTCCTGGAGGCTCAAGTGTCTCCAGAGCCTGCAGGAGCAGACTGGGCTTTCCTCTCCTTCTGGGTGGAGTGGTGCCTGGACGTGCCTAGGATCTAACCCACTGCCACCACTGTCCCTTTGCACATGAGCTGAGGAAATGCAGCTGGCCCGGTGTGCCCGGAGAGGTCTGGCCCGTGATGTGGTGTCTCCTCTCAGTGAGTACTCAGAGCTGTGACACAGGGGTCTGGGGGAAACGTGCCAAGACCTTCATTGTCTTGTAACCAGGTCTGCTCATTTTGTATCTGTGCCCAGCCTACAGGTGAGCTGTAGGGGTTTTCTGGTCAGGGAGTGTAATTGCTACATCCTCTGTGAGCACAAAGCCCAGACTGGTGCTGGAAACATGTGGTTTCCTCTTGTTTTGGGAAACTGAATCCCATGAAGGTGGGTTGCTCCAAGATCACTAAAGGCATCAGGGGCTGGGAAAGCCAAAGCCCGTGGAAGCTCTTTCCCAGGCTCCTGAGTCTCTGTGCCTGATGCTTCCAGGTGCACAGGTGACTGGCAGGATTTCAGGGGATGGTTTGTGGTGAGGGAAGAGGCTCTGCTCTGCCACAGGGTTATCTCCCTGCAGACATGGAGCAGTGAAAGATGACCCTGCAGCCCAAGTGGGAGGACTGCTTCAGCTTCATCCAGCTGTGTTACCATTCCTGGGACGAGGAGCACCATCAAGACACCTACCAACAGGTACGAGCCCTCTGCCTGTTGCCTGACTTTCTGCCTTGGTTATGTCCCTTTTCTCCCTCTTGCTGTCACTTGTCTGTGTGGGTGAGGGCATTCAGGGACTTCCTCTAGGTGTAGCTATTGGGAGTCTTCTTGGGGACAGGACACCATGTTTCTGCCTGTCTTCTTACAGGTAGTAGTTTAAGCCTTCCCTAAATCGACCTCATAACTAGAATTCAGACCCCAGATCAGGGCATCTCCCCATGCCTGAGCAGAGGAGGCTGGAGATTAAACTGTATATGATTGTCTCAGTGCAGCCGTCACCTGCAGCCCTCACTGCACTTGTCAGCAAGTGCAGCTCTTGCCTGGGGGAACACTGAGGGGTGGTTTCCCCTCTGTTAGCCTGTGAGGAGTTACTGTGCCCCTGAAAAGCACAGCTGGTGTGTGTAACCCACCCTCTCTTCCAGATCCACATCGATATTCCAAGGACCAACCCATTCATCCCCCTCTTCCAGCAGCTGGTCATCCAGGAGGTAAGAGGGGGAGCGAAGCTCCTGCCCAACATTTGCTGTGGGGTGTTTGTGGTGTTAGACCAGCACTGCCACGAGTGAGTTGTTTTTTCAGGGAAACTTCCCTGGCTGACAGCTCCTGATGCAAATACCTGCTGAAACTTTGTCCCATGTTTCTGAAATCAGACTCGGAGCTCAGGAGAGATGAGATCAACTCTTTTGTGGCAAGATGTAGCCAAAACCTGGTAAAATACATGAAGCTTTTAAGATAAATTCAAGGTGATTGAACCAGAGGAGATCAGTTGTGTTTTGCTATGAAACCTCTATTGTGTGAAGCAGGATGTGAGAAACACAGGCGGGGACGAGGTTTGAGAGGTGGCCAGGAGGTGTCAGGAGCATCTGTCCTCTTCAGAAACAAGCTCAGCGTGTGTGTATATGTGAGAGCACAGCATCCTGGGGCTGGGGCAGTCTGTAAATAACATGCTGTTTGTTGGGAGGAGGCTGCTCTGTTGGGAACTATCCTGACCCATGATGTTTTGCTGGAAGAACTGTGGTGATAACAGGTAACAGCCTTGCCTTTCCACCTGACGCTCAGCAGGGTGTGCTACTCTGCTAATGGGCAGCCCTGCCCTAGGGGTGGAAGGGTCTTAAGCCACCTGGATCTGGAAAAGTTGGGTCTGTACTTCTTCAAACAGAGGCTTTGAGGAGCCTGGGCTGCTTTGTTGGTGAAATGTGGGCTGGCCTGTGTGGGGATCTGTGGATCATACTAGAGTCTCTCCTAGGACTTGCATGCTTCTTCTCACCTGTATCGCTGCAGAAAAGCCTGTCAGCACATGATCTCTACTCCCTGAGCTTAGCAGTTACGCTTTTCTGCCTTTGCTTTGTGCACGGCTAATGTAGGTACCTGTTTTCCCTTATTCTTCCCTAGATCTTTGAAAGGATCCTGTTTATCTGGGCCATTCAACACCCAGCCAGCAGCTGTGTGCAGAGAATCAATGACCTGGTCATTCCTTTCCTTGTTGGGCTCCTCTCTGAGTATGTTGGTAAGTGACTTTTGCTGTTTGAAGCACAGTATTTGAAATGGTCGAAGTGCTGGCATCAGACAAGTTTGCCTTGCTGGAGGGGATGATGTATGTGTTCTTTCTTCCCAGAACATGATTATTTTTAAAGGTAAAATGGCTCACTAGGTTCTAGGGACTGGGCAGTTTAAAGGAACAGTTACAGAAGAGAAACCTTTACTTCCCAAGTTGCTGACTCAATTCCCATTCACATATTAGTGAGCAGTGTTGCCATCTGACAGCTGCCTGCAGCTCACATCAAAATGAGGTGGTGGTACAAGTCCAGTCCTTGAGGCTGAAGGGAAACCAAAGGAAATAAATAAATATTTTTTTTTTTTTTTTTAAAAAAAGCCTCTCTAATTTGTCCTGCAGGTTGGGGCCCTGTGGGCACCCTTGGCTGAGTGCTAAGAACAGAGATGGGAGATGCACATGTGGTGTGCTCTGCCTGGAAAGACTGCTCATCCCAGTGAGTAAAGTGACCGGTCCTTTGCAGGTCAGGGTGTGACTCAGGCTCCAAGGTGCTTCTCAGCAGGAATGACCCAGCTAGCCAAATAGGAACCTTAAAATGTGGTGGATGCCACGTGCATTCTGTTAGCTGGGAGATGTGTATCCGGTGGGTCAATTTTCTTTGAAAAGACTCATGTTTAAAGAAGTCTATAATTTCTGAAAACCACATACAATTGCTTTGGCGTTCCTGAAAGTCGTTATGTCTTCCACATGTAACACACACTTCAAGGCTTTGCAGGAATAAGGAAACAAAATTTGACCTCTTAGATGAATTGGCTCCTACCTGTGCAGAGACAATAGCAGATTGTAGATCGATATGGTGCTAATGTGGTGTCGTTGTAAGACTACGTGTTACCTCCAGAACTTGCCTGTAATCGGAATATTGCTGATTTCATACCTTGATTTCAAGTCACTAAAAAGCTGCACAGCCCTTCTAGGGGATAAGAAGATTGGAAAGACTGGAATGGGCAACACAGGGAAAAATAACGTGATGCCTGAGTTTCAGGAAACAGACACTCTCCTGGGAAAATGTCTTTTCCATCACTTATAGTCACAGCTGCCCACTGATGACCCCAGAGCCAGGGTGAGACATTAGATTAAGACCATCAGGTGTGCTGGATGGCACAGCCTGTCCGATTTAATGAGTTGTTCAATAGGTATTGTAACTGATATGAATTAATCTCTTCACTGCATGACTGGATCTCATTGTTAGAAGTCACATTGCTTGCTCTGGCAGATGGTGCAGCCTGGCAGATGTGCCCAGCAAGCAAAGCTAAGCCACTGGAAAGTGCTTTTCTTAGGGAGAGTTGTGGTTCTACCTGCTAGTAAATACTAATCCATTCTTTCTCTTATTTGTGCGAGTGGTATGGGGATGCTGCCCAGTCTTCAGAGACTGACAAAATCAGAGTTTGTTACAGTGTTGGTCTCCTCTGGGTGAAAAAACAGAGCAGAACAACTCACCTCACATCGAGTTTGCCCATCTCCTCACTCCTGTGTCCTCACAAATTTTATTTAGAGATACCCAGATCACATGCCAGCTGTCCCTTGTGAATGCTTAGTGGCAAATGCAACTCACCCCTCATGTGCACAGGAGGATTTGGGAGAGGAGGGATCTGCAGTCAGTGCTGGGAAGGAGAGGTGTGGGATGAGACCAAGAAGCCCCGGACATGCCCTTTTAGTCAACCTACAGTCTTCCTATAACATCAGCAGACCCTGATGAAAGGGTAAAAAAAGCAAAGGGGTTGATTTTTTTGCACTGTCAGTTCAGACTCTGTTCAGGAAGCTGAACACATTTTATAAAATAGGCCTGTGTAGGTACTTAAGCATGTTGGAATATATTGGGCTTGGTTAGTGCTAAAAATACCTTATTGATTCTTTGTTACCTTTGTTCTGATTATAAAGTAATTGATGAGTTTGTCTTTGAACCGCGAGGCTCACCTGATAATTTTGCAGCATTTAGACAGCTTTGTGGCTGGTTGCCTTTTTTTCAAGGCCAGTAGGAGGATATGAAATCCATTGACTGATGCATAACCCTTAGGGTGAGGCACCAGAATCAAGTCAAGAAGGCAAACTGGAGAGCCAAGTTGCTGATTATACTTCATGTGTCAAATATTCTTCTCAAAAACAAAAGGCATTAGACATGAACAGGACAAATGTCTGTACTCTCACACCATGCAAGGGTTAAATTCTTCCTCTTCACATGTTCTTTTTAATAAGGACATTGTTCAGAGTTGATTAAATTAGTTTCACACATTTTGGAAGCCATTGAAAGATGAAGAGCAGCAAAGAGGTGAGATGTTCAGGAGAAACTCACTATGTATTTCTGACTTTGAGGTTGCCCCATCCCAATGGCATCTCTCTGCCTTATGTTCCTTCTGAAACATTCATTAATTCAAATCACTTTTTTAGTAAAAGCTTTTGTCTCAGAAGACACAAAACCTCTGCACTGAGCCTGTGCAAGAAGTCCATTGTCTTTGCCTGCTACAATATAATCCTCTTGCCTTGCAGCTTCTGTACTTGCACTCATCACCTCTGTTAAGAGTGAGACTAAATATGATGCCTGCTACACTGTAGAGTAAGAAGAGCTTGTGGCCTCTGTCCTTGTTACTTGCATTTCAAAATTTTACTTTGCTGTTTTCAAAGGAACATTGTGTGAACTTAGCAAAAAACTGATTTCAATTTGAAGTTTTTAAATTTAAATTTGTGGCAAGATGTTGGAGAACGGCTTGCAGAGAGCAAGGCCATGGGTCTGTGCAGGAGCTGATTGCAGCCATTGGAGGTAAGCAAAGGAAAAAACCCAGGGTACAGTTATGCTAACAAAGGACTGTTATGTTAACAAAGAGAGAAACTGAGGTACATTATGGCCTTGTGTATGATAAAGGAATGGCCCTGGGAGAAAAAGGTTCAGAAGAGGGAAGATGTTGTGACATGCCTGAGATGCCACAAGGGGCTGGGATATTATAATGTAGCCTCTTACATGTATCCAATCGATTTGTGAGTAGTGTGCATGATTATTGTAGAGTGCTATATAAGGTGTGATTTCTTTCAATAAAGTTGAAGCTTGCTCTATCATTCACATTGAATCAGCTGCTTGCTTCCTCCGCCCACCGCAGCAAGATGTGCTTAAACTTGTTATAAATGCAGCAAAGTAAGGAATAGGTTTTTTCTAATTCTTTTCAAAGGCGTGACTGTGTGTGATGAGCTGGTCATGTCAGGAAAGGGAGTCAATCTTCAGCTGGTGGATGTGGCCTCATTTTCTCAGCAGTAAGAGGTTTCAGAAGTCTCTTGTCCCCTGGCAGGGATGTGGAGAGGTGCCTGATCTAATGCTGACAGTTGTCTACATCCCTACTCATACTATCAGTCTTACTCTTTTTTCATCTGGGCCTTTTACACAACACTATTGGGGAAAGAAGCCTTCCTTTCAGTGAAAAATGTGTTTGTGAATATGTAAATTATCAGCAGGCTGCAGGCATAGCTTGGTCTCCTCTAAAACTAATTGTAACTAATTTTTATTTAGCACTTGACATTGTCCATTTAATGCAGCACTGAAGTTTTATACAGGTTCCTAAAGCATCGCTTACCGTTTCATTATGTGACTTCAACCGCAAATGATGACATAGGGGAGCTATGTTTAACTCAAAAGAAGCAATAAAAGAACATATGTTTATTAAGCAGTAATAGAGGAATCCTGTTGGATAACGGCTTGCAGAGAGCAAGGCCATAGCTCCCTGCAGGAGCTGGTCAGCCATAGCTCCCTGCAGAAGTCGGTCCCAGCCACCTGAGGTAAACAAAGGAAAGAACCCAGCGTACAGTTATGTAAATAAGGATGAAGACCCAGGGCTCAGTTGTGCTGACGAGGATTGTTGTGAGAACACAGAGATAAGTTGGGGCGCATTATGACCTTGGGGGTCAGAGAAAAACAGCCCTGGGAGAGAAGCAGGTTCACAGCAAGAAAGATGTTTATGCATACCAGAGATGCCACAAGGGGCTGGGGTATTATAATGTGACTTTTTAAATGTATCCAATGGCTGAGATATTATAATGTAGTTTCTTAAATGTATCCAATAGAGTTACAAGTAGTGTATTGTAGAGTGCTTATATAAGGTGTGATTTCTTTCAATAAATTTGAAGCTTGCTCTATCATTCACGTTGAATCGGCTGCTTGCTTCCTCCGCCCGCAGCAGATTCCTACTAAGCTCTTTCTAAAATTGCTTCTTGAACTAGAAGTGTGCATTCTTTCAATAAGCCTTGGGTACTCTTTTCCCAGAAGGAGCCAGTTAGTATTTATTAATATCAACATTAATGTGGCCGAGAGAGATATACTGGCCAGTGACAGGTTGCAGTATGAGCAACGTAGTTTTGAAATGTAGTTATGTATCTTTCTTCCTGTTGGATAAAGATTTCCTAATCTGAATTTATCTGAAGAAAAATTGACAGAGCAATCAGACTAACTTTGGGTGAATCTTGCACAGAAAACACAACCAGGAGTTTATATGAAAGTCTACTGAGATCTGTGTTAAGAAATTGTGGTTTTTCTGAGCTTTTACAATTTTGAGAAAATTGAAAATTATATTTATTATTTATTCAAATGAAGAGTTAGTGATCTGAGATACAACTGTTTATAAAGCATATTAAGTTACATATTTGTACACAGACTTTGTGCTAATATGCCCTGTAGTATCTGACAAAGTAATGAAATAGTTGTCTCTGAGTTCTCAACTCTGTGCTAACGTGTGTTGTAAAACCCTTCTTTTTATCTAGAAACAAAATTTCCTGTGCAATACTTTTTTTTTTTTTTTTTTTTTTTTTTTTTTTTTTTTTTTTTTTTTTCCAGAAGGAAGAATTCTCTCTCAAAAAATCTCTGCAACGAAAGATACAAATCAGTCACCTGTGAGACATGGCTGTTGTCCCCACTCAGTCACTGTGCTGTGCTGCAGCCTCCAGGGGATGAAGAACACCCCTCTCTGCTGGGCTGCTTCATCCCCAGGAAGGCAGTTTGCCATTGCCTGCTGGGGGGAGTTGTCTCCCCTCCTATCCTACCCCTCAGACTAGTTCTGTCCCTCTGTCTGGCTTGCTCTCCAGTGTACTCCAGGCTCAAAATGAAAGGCAAGAAAAAGTTAGAGGAGAAGACTCACTGGGGGCAGAGAGAGCACCTGGAGAGACCAGGGGCTAACAAATGTCAGTGGCTGCAATAACCACCCAGGATTCACAGACTGCTCAACAGGAGTGCAGAACAAGTATGTGCAAAAGATGAAATTTGCCTCTTTCTCTGTGAAGTGCAGGTGAGCTGTCAAAAAAAAAAAAAAAAAAAAAAAAAAAAAAAAAAAAAAATCTACAAAAGTTCTTGAGAAAATGGAAAAATGTCTTGGTGGTTTTGAGAAAACGGTTATACTGGTCTTGGGCCAGCGGGACGACTCTCCTGCTACAGACTGCTGGTTTAGGAGCAAAACTGACATAAGATGTGATCAGCTTATCCTGCTCCACCTCTGCTGGGCCCAGTCCTGCGAGAGCTGGACAGTGTGATCTTGAGCGTTTGTACTGGACACACGTAGTGCAAAAAGCTCTTCTGCAGGTAGAGGCAGATGACTGTAGATTTCAAGGGAACAAATGCATTTCTTTGTTCTTCCAGTTTGTTGCAGTGGGAGCCATCAAATAACTATTGCCTCAAGTTTTTAAACTCATCACCTG